CCAAACCAGTAGCACAGCCGCAGAGAAAAACTAAGAACATGAACAGTAGTTCGAGCAACCCAAAATCAAGAAGAACAATTCAAGTTATGTGAATCAAAAATCCAACAATAGACATTGAAAGGCCCCTGAAAAACGAAGTCAAGGCCAAAAAATTGGGAGCAGAAAGAGGCAGCAGCTGGGTAAAACCTGGAGTTCAAAATCAGACTGTGAACAGTGACTTCGAATCCAAATAATGCTCAATTCGTAGAGGTCTTCAATTGGAATGATAATCCCACTTCAGGCCTTGAATAAGAATCCCAAGCCGCCCCTAAACCCCCAAAAATTAGCCATCAAACGTGTTGGAAACGAGGCCAATTGGAATCTTGATGTTCGTCGATGAACAGTAAAACTCGAACTTTGACCTGCGATTTCACCCAATTACAGCAGCGTAATCCAAAAACCAAGCCTGGGAATGGATTCCTCGGCTCCAAACGAATCAAGAGCTCCAAAATCGTGCCAAACACATCAAGAATAAGGCTGGAATCGGAAGTCTCAATATGGATGAACAGTGCCGACGGGACTGCCCCGCGCTAGAGAGAGAAATATGTCCCAAGCCATATTGAGAGCTCTTTCAAGGATAAAATGTAAATTATTAATATCCAAGAGTCAATACAAAGAGTACATATAAGACATACAACCAATGCATCGGGGCATACCCCTAAAAATCAAAGACAAGTCATGTCAAACAAGTACTAGAAAAGAGATAAGGCCAAGACTATTTGATTCGTCCAAGCATTTTCATTGATCTTTCCCAGTGCATATATTCCAGAGTGTCCACCGGAGCTCCATAGGCATCCCTCAAACAAGGAGGGCTGCGGGCAATGAGCTCCCGAAGTTTGTCCGGTGCAAGCTTAGGTAATCCATGATCTGATCTGTCCACTCTCCCCATTGCTTGGGCTAGTAGTCGATCAAGCCACTCTTCCTTTTGCTTGTCCAGCTTTATTCGCCATGGTGCCTTTTGTGGTGTGCTCTCTGTGGTGGTCTGGTCTGCCTTCTTGGCCGCTCCAGTTGGCTTGTTCCCCTTCTCTATGATGGACGCCCCTACCTTGGAGTTTGCTTGGACAGCTTGCTCAACATGCGCAGGGGTGGAGGAGGTGCCAACGAGCTGGTCATCATCGCCCACAGTGCCGGGCTGTTTTCCACTCAAGCTCTTTTTTTCCTTGGGTTGCTGCAGTTTTTGGTTTGAAGCTGGAGCTCCATCTCCCAAAACTTTAGCATCCGTTTGTGCTACTTTCTTAGTAGCCTTGTCCGTAGACTTTGTTGCACCACTAGGATCAAGAGAATCCTTCGGACTGGTGGTGGAAGAGCAGACATCACCCTGCCCATCATGGTTCACGGTTTTGGCAGCATGTTCTACGCCATTATCCTCAGTCCTGGCCGTCTTCATGGTGTCCTTTGGGGAAGGCAACGCAGTGGGGGTGGGCATGGCATGACTGCCCAAGGCCTTAGGTCCACGTACCAACTTACGCTTAGCTCTTCTCCTCCTTCTTCTCGATTTGGCAGGGGCTGGAGTACCCAGGGCAGAATCAGCCCCTTTCCTAACCAAGTCAGCCTTCCCAAAGGTGTTCCTGTCACGCTTGTCAAAATAATTCCCAGATTTTCTGTGGTTTAGGGCTCGGAGAACCCTACAGCTCAATTGGTTGTGGCCAAACTTTTTGCAATGATAGCAATAGTTTGGAAGGCCTTCGTACACAACCTTTTGAGTAAATTCTTCTCCATCAGGGAGAGAAACCACAAAGGATGTAGGGAGCTCCTTAGACATGTCAACCCGAATCAACATTCTACAATAGCTCAACCTTCCCTTATTTTTCGTTCCTCTGTCGGTGCGTATGGGGGTTCCCACTCTAGACCCCAAGCACTCGAAGGCAACAGGATTCCACAATTGCAAAGGCACATCAACAAATTTAACCCACACATCGACCGTCATAAATGCATCAAAATCAAAGCGAAACCCTTCTGGAAGAATGCAAGGGTCTTACCATAGAGGACGTACGACCCATTATGGAGAACTTTTCTACGGTCTTCATCACTCAAAAACTGGAAGATCACCCAGCCTTTTTCGTGAGGATGGAGCTTGCACTCTAAATGCCATGAGGAGATCAGCCCCTCAATGGCTTTGATGCCCGGAAACCGGCCTGTCAAACAGCCCACAAGGCAGAACCCCCACTCCTCTTCAAGATTTGAAACCCCTTCTGCCGGTATGCTGACCACATCCCCCACCTCCACTTTCTTCAAAGGGAAGCCTTCAGAAGGGTCTCGGTTATGCCCACTGGAACTAGGCAATTCCTTTGATGGAGGTTCAGGTAGAATAGAGGGTGAGTCTCTAGGTTTGTCCAAGTCATCATCATGTCTCTCCATGCCACTGTCCACAGCCTTTCCTATGTTGTCCTCAAAACAAGTTTTCTGTCCAATGGGTTCTGCATCATGGTTAGGACCAGGGTCATCCGCAGCTTCTTGAAGAACCATGGTTTTGCCATTTCTCAATTTCCTTTCCCTCAATACAGTTTTTGAAGGAGTAGAAGTAATGGGGGTATGTTTGTTACTGCCCATCTGGTCATTTCCCTCTTCCAGAGCAGTAGAAACTGCTCCAGTTTTGGCAGCAGTGGCACCACTTGTGCTTGTCTCTGAATTGGACCAAAGTCTTGCTTCACTCACTGGTGTTCCATCAAACACAAACTTGGTAATGCTTTGTTTGTGTTTTTTGGTACCCTTCTTACTGATTTTTTTCCCCATGACAAAGAAAAAGAACCAACAGCAAAGGAAAACCAGCAGTGCAGTAGCCTCAAATCACACAAGCAGCAAGGGAAAAGCCAGAGACCAAAGTACAAGGTGCACCATACGAAGAAATCAAGAAGCACAAGTGTAGTGAAGCACCTAAACAACAGACCACACAAGGGCAGAGACTGATGCAGTACCTGAAGAAATTGAAACCAGAGTTGCTGATGAACAGTGGTCCGAGTTTCAATTAATCACCCAAACCTGTGATTCTTTGTTGGAACTGAAATTCCAATTAAGAACACTTCAAGGGCTTCAATTCGATCAGAACTCCAAAAAAAACAGGCTCCAATTTGGCTTTAATCCCTGCGAAATCAGTGCTGCCAGTTCGCGAGATGAACACTAATCTCGCAGCAGTTGACCTTCAATTCACGCACAGATGATAACCAAACAAACAGGTTGAGCTCGGATAATGAATCTCCTGAGGAAGACGAACCTGTAGGATCAAGAATCAACGAAAATACTCCACAAAATCAACTGGAATCTCGATCTCAAGGTTGCGCGGTACTGTTCATCCGTCGCCCAGCTAGAGAGAGAGAAACCTATTGAGAGCTCTTTCAAGATTCTATTGAGAGCTCTTTCGTCGTCCCATATTGAGAGCTCTTTCAAAGGTAACATGTAAATTATTATTACCCGTAATCAAATGAATACAAGAATGTCAAATGCTTAACCATAAGATGGTTACTTGCATTAGATCGTAAAAATACAACCTAAACACCTATACAAAGCAGAAAATTACAATTCAAAACGCCCCTATACAGACAAATGTAGTAGGCCATACATATAGCATCCACTAAGAACCAAAAAGGAAACTCAAAAACAACATAACAAAGAAGATTACAAACAGAACAACAACAAGCTTCAAGTCCATATTGCAAGGCGTTCCACATTCCAGTTGAGTCAAGCAAGGGATAGCATCAGTAGCATCATGTATATCCAATCTCAGCCAAGGTTCAGAAGATCAAGACCCCCCTTTCACACACAAAAGGGACAGGTATGAACCCAACTAGTAGACAGTCTACACAAGCACGGCTACCTGCCTCCCAAGATTAATAGCTAGCAGTAGAACATCCATTGCAACCAAGTATGTCCATCTCCCTTCAAAGAGTGCATCATCTCTTCTACAACACAGGGAGGTGAGGTGGTCATGATGTGTCCAACTCCCTTCGAAGAGTATGTCAACTCTCCTACAACACAGGGAGCAAGGGCAAGCAAAACGCAATGCCAAAAATCACAGCCAACTCAAAATCCAAGTTCAGCACAGCCAGGTTAAGCACATAACATAGTATACAAAGTGAGACCAGTCATTGCCAGTGGTAGACCAAGCAGGGCTATAGCCACAGAGAATAAACAGCCATTTGATCATCCAAACTCCCATTTGTCAGTGATATGGGCAGCAAACAATCATACTAAGCATACTTAAAGATGGAGGGTTCAGAAACACATGAGCCTCCAATCACAAGATCCACAGTAACCCAAACATAGTTCAGAACCAGTTATCCAAGTAGTATCGCAGCAAGGAGGACTAGCCTTCATACATATACAAGTCAAAGAAAGAGATGTAATATGCATTGTGGGCTAAGTCCTAGAGTAAGAGAAAGGTGAGGGAGAAGTGAAGAAACAGAAGGGGGTGAGAAGAGAGAAAGAATGAAGAAGGGGTAAGAGGGGGACAACAAGAAGGCAGAGGCAGGGTGCAAGATTCTATGGGTGGTGGTGCATGGCCGTTCTTAGTTGGTGGAGCGATTTGTCTGGTTAATTTCGTTAACGAACGAGACCTCAGCCTGCTAACTAGCTATGCGAAGGTATCCCTTCGTGGCCAGCTTCTTAGAGGGACTACGGCCTCTTAGGCCGCGGAAGTTTGAGGCAATAACAGGTCTGTGATGCCCTTAGATGTTCTGGGCCGCACGCGCGCTACACTGATGTATTCAATGAGCGTATAGCCTTGGCCGATAGGTTCGGGTAATCTTTGAAATTTCATCGTGATGGGGATAGATCATTGCAATTGTTGGTCTTCAACGAGGAATTCCTAGTAAGCGTGAGTCATCAGCTCGCGTTGACTACGTCCCTGCCCTTTGTACACACCGCCCGTCGCTCCTACCGATTGAATGATCCGGTGAAGTGTTCGGATCGTGGTGATGTGGGCGGTTTGCTGCCCGTGACGTTGCGAGAAGTCCATTGAACCTTAT